GAAAGGCGCGGAACCAACTCCCAATAAGATCTGGGAAGCTATTCAGACGCTGTTTGCAGCAATGAATCAGGTAGAGGAGTTGGTAGCTTCCCGATTTGGACCAAAAACGAGAGTAGTATTCACTTCATCACCAGGCTACGCGAGCCTGCCACCAGCATTGCAGTTCGTTTATGCAATATTGATCTTGATAGCGGAGGGCAATGCGTGGCGGATGCTTATGGCCGCTCCGAATCGCGAGCTAAAGCCAACAAAATTGAGACTTTTTAAGTCTGAACTTGCAGCGGCATGGGTGGACGTATCTCATGTGCTGAGGGGATTCTACGAGTTGGCAGATATCTTGATTGTTCTGGATGAGGTTCTCTGCCTTGAGGTGTCGAATCTCGCCAGACAGCTGAAGTTCAACCCGGAGATTGGGGACGATCATTTCGCGATAACCCATCTAACAGCTAGCCTGTGGTTCCGGAGCACGGGTCTGACAATCACGAGCTCCACCAGCAGCGCGAGAGGACCAAATAATGCAAGAAAGAATGTGGCCGCGGCCGAGAAACAACTAGAGTCGATAGGATATCGCTTAACACAAGAAAGAGGGAGGTGGCCATTTCTGAACCCAACGCTTGAGAATGCGACGGACAAGACGAGGGAGAGTGCTCCATCCCTCTTCAAACAAATATGGAATTTTCTTGAGGAGCAGCTAGAGGTGGCAGAAGAGGGAGATGACGGTGGGGAGATTTGTCACAGCAGCTAATGAAGTCACTGTTGGGGGTTTCTGGACAAATCATGCGAAGGGCGAGCTGAGGTACCTCTTCAATATGCGGCCAGCGTACATGTTCAGTGAGGGCGTGGGAACACTACGGATTGACGGATATCTGACGCTGATACTCTTGACGCATGGGGAATTGACGATGTTCCATTGGTTAATGAATTATGGTCAACCCCTGTCGGTGAGGAAGGCTCACTCGAGTATGTAGACTTATTCGTACAAGTGTGTTGCCGGACTGAAGACATTGCTCATGGTTACCTGCTGATGCAAAATCGATTTTTGATGGGCGAGGAGAGAAACCCCAAGATGAGAGAAGAATTCAGAGAGGCTAGTGTGGGCATATCCAATCTTATTGACTGGTGTTTGGCCATGAGATCTGACCCACTGGGGGTGATCAGAGGCTTGGGGGAAGTAGTGACCTGCGTTTACGGGCCAGCAGTGACGTATGCATTCCAGGAGCCACTTGTAGTGGCGTATCGACACTCAGTGGTGCATGTGAGCCTGATCAGCATTCTCAATGGGACACCACTCAACTGGTGCAGACAAAAGGACTTGAGAGCGCAGATGAGCCAGACGGTGCTTTTTGGAAAATGAAGGATCCAGAGCTAGTGGTGTACAATTTCAGGGGACAAATGCAGTGCAGAATCGGAGGAAAACGCAGGGCTCCATCGAGATCTATCCCAAGTTTTGGAGCCTGAATCCATGACAAGCGACAAGAAGGAAGTCTTGAGAATCCCGGCATGTACGAAAAGTTTCGAATTCACGAAAAAGGAATTGGAAACGATTCTAGAGCGGGATGACCTCCCTGCTACCGTCCCCGAGTTCCCCACGGTAAAAAACAAAATGACCTTGGGAATGAACAGCCCTCTGGTGGTCCCTTCCCTGCTCGCGATAGCCACGGTAGAGAGACAATAGAGAGAGTTCACGAAGGGCTGGGATCCTCTGTTCATTGGATATTCGGCAGCGTTGTATTTCCACACGTGCGAGATTAAGATAAATTCGTGGATACACAAGCAAAGAAGATGCGAGGCTCGGTGCCCCCTAAGTTTGAGGTTCGAAATGTCTTGAGAAAACCTCAGGAGGCTGGACTCGAAAACAAACTGCCAATTCATAACGATTGAAGGATGATCGTGGAGGAGGGTCATATGGCACTGAAGGACGAGATGATGTTTGCCATGAGAAAGTACCGAGCGCCTTATGGTCTGGACGAGTTGCAGTTGAGGCAAGAAGGCAAAAGGCTGAATGCAGCAGGACCCCTGTATGTATACCTCGCGGAGTACAAGACAGCAGACCTTCCCTCAGGGAACCCCAGGAGACAGAAGGGACCTTCCAGTGGAGAAGAAGTTCACTGACACGCTAGAGAGGAACCAGCCAGAGTCAGGAGAGGGGGAGAGTATGGACGAAACTCTCAGCGAAGCTGGAGAGCAAATGGAGGTGGGAAATACGCCAGTCGGACGGGCGACGAACAGGGAGTTTAGCCCCGGCACCACCACACGTTAGCTACTGCAAGAGCTGAGTGGGGACGACTGGGCAAACACAGCCACCCCAACTTTGGTATCTCCCCGGAAGAATCTTGAGCTATCACTGACGATTGAACCATCAAACATGGGCATGGTGCTCCTAACCGACGAAGCAAGGGAGGAGAATACCTTTGAGGGAAACAAAGACATGTTCTTGGCTATGTTGAACGAGGAGGCGTGGCGAATTTTCCTGGAGGAATTCAACCAGAGAGAGGAAAACAAAGTGCGTGGAGTAGATGACTTTAAGGAAGAGCTATGGAGCACGGAGGTGAAATTTGGAGAGCCAGTCTTGATCGGCACTGGACTGGATGAGAAAGGAAGAGAAGGGCTGCTCGAGAAGATGATTGGCCTGTGGAAGCAGAACACCGGGGCCAACCCTTGTGAAGATAGCTCTACTCTGAACAAAAAACGGATGATAAAAAATTAAGTGCTGAGGTAGATTATAAATGTAAGACAGTATAGGTACTTTTCCTTCAATCGTTACCGTGTTTTGCTAAACTATGATAAGGCAAGGGAAAAATCTAATTTTTGGGATGAAAATTATTTTCAAGAATTTATTTTTTTCAGCCATTAATTTTCGGCTTTCAACAATTCGAATTTTTGGTTGAATTTTTTTTGAGTTTTGATAACAAAAAAACTTCGGCTACCCAGGAACAAAAAAATTTTCGGCTCGCTGGTAACAAATTTACTTTCCGGCTAGTCGATACCTTCTTTGTTTTCGGTTCTCCCGATACGGTTATAATTTTCGGCTCTCCGGATACGGTTTGTTTTCGGCGAATTGCCTCACCATCTCAGAAGACAAGTCGACAGTCAACCTTTTCACTCCTCAGTCCGCTCATGCCAACAAGCAGCCTCAGGTTCTCGTGCAAAGCAACATCCTCGGCACGATGGTCTGCTTTGAACCGCACACCAGAGACATCGCTGCCAAAGCACAGAAGATCAACGCCGTTCTCAAAGCCCTCGCAGGTACAGCATGGGGCAGTGACCGCGAAACCCTCATGACTCTGTACAAAGCAGCTAGCAGATCTGTCATCAACTACTGCTGCTCTACGTGGGCCCCCATCATCAAAGACTGCCACTGGAAACGACTACAACATTCAGAGAGCACAGCACTCCGAATAAAAACAGGATGCTACAACATGACGAACATAGACGATCTACACAACGAATCACGAGTTCTTCCCATCAAAGAACACACAAATATGCTCGCACAACAATATGCCGTCACCTGTTACAACTCTAGCCACCCCTGTCACTCACCAACCAACAAATTCTCCCACACCAACCACAGATGAAACCAGACCTGTTTTACAAATACGAAAACTAAGTGCCGAATAGACAAATCGATGCGCAAGAAGTAAAAAGGCTACAAAAAGCAATACATACACAGGCCGTCAGCGAACCGAACTCTGTTTATGGAAGCGCACCACCAGAAATTCATGAAACAGAGAGTTCCTTATCTAGAGTCTGCAGAACACGCTTGGCACTACTCCGTAACGGATACTGTCGCTTATTGAACTCATACATATCAAGAATTGATGAAGAAAAAAAGACATCTGTCCAATTTGCAACAACCCTGATCACCAGGGGATGCATCAGCTTTTCTTAAATTCGAAGACGATTATAGAGAGACGGCGGCTACAAGTAACAACAACAACTGAGGATATAGTTCTTTTTTTAAGTTCTTTTATGTTTTTTAAGATAATACGGTCAGGGTGAGTTACTTTGAAACTAGACCTAGAACCTACTAATGTAAAAAAGTCCAATGCTAAGAGGATAAGTACTGATTGCAATGGTTGAATGTCATTCCGTCTAAAAGCCTGCTATTAAAACTGACAAATCAGCAGCTTAGATTTGCTATAAGACTCCGCCTAATTAGACAAATTTGTAAAAAAAACAGATACGTTTGCAGAATACAAATAACCGAAGATGGTTGGCCTGGCCTTTCTTGCCTGAAAAGAGCCTGTAGATTCTCTATAAAATTTGAATGCCTTATAATGCAAAGTTTCGCCTTCGCTCACTTTTCTCTTTCAAAGCGACTACACCTCCACAGGAAGCGACAAGACGATTTGACGTCTGTCAGATGGGCTGCTGGTTGCAGCTCCTGTGGGATGTAACGGTAATTGGCTCCCTAGCCCCTAGTAGAATAAGCAATGGCTCGGTTTGTGAAACCGGAACTGCGGCGGTCGAGGCGGAACGTCGCAAACTGACAAATCTAGAGATTTAATTAATGATGGATGTATTTTCAACCCGTTGCTCTTGAAGTTTAATGTGCCGTTTAGGTTAGATCTAGTTTACAAGGAACCCAGGGAAGGTAGTTTTTTGAGGAGAGAAACTCCCTCGCAGTACAGTTTGCGAACGCTGCCTGTATACCGGCACTATTAAATAATGTGATAACTACTTTAATAAATTTACAAAATGTAGAGCAAATGAAACGAAAGCGCAGCTTAGTTGAGTATCTGATAGGCCCGTAGTTTCACGTCAGGTCAACCGTTTTGAGTTATTTTCACTAACCATCTGACTCTTTACTTTTATTCACGTTTTATTTTACTTTAAGCTAATTTTTGAAATTCCAATGGTTTTTTGGCTGGATGAAATGATGAAAGGTAGTGAAGTAACTTCACTTCAGTTAACATGATAATTTTTGAACTGCTGACTTAGGTTGATCTATGCTTTTAAAAAGAAACGGTGAATTTGAACAATATCGTTTTCTAACAGAATTATCAATTACTAAGTTTTGAGCGTAACAAAAAAGGTTCAGTTAATTTTACTTAGTATATTAGTATTTCTCATGTGAAATAAGAAGTCATTCCAATCAATTTTTCCATCTTCATCTTTGTCGCCCTCTTGAAACATTTCTTCTACCATGTCATCCTCAACAGCCTCTCTGCTTCTGGCTGAGCATAGCCGCTCAACAGACTGCTTGTTGATATGCCCTGGAACAGTGGAATGGGTAAATTGAATATGTATTCAAAAATCAACATAACTTATAAATGAAATATATCAAATATTTGCTTGTGAATTCAGAAGAAACGTGTATTGTAAATTTTAAAAAAAATTATTTTGCATTTTTTGTCTTCTGTGAAAACGATTGCTCTGAGCTATTGAAATTTGAAAGATGGGTTTGTTTGTTTTCGGGTAAATAGGTGAGATAATTTGATTGAGTGAACAAAACGTCTACCTTCTTTTTCGTTGTCCAACAAATCAAAGCCATATCTGCAATCGGGCTCCAAAAATTTCTTCGAGTGTAGTTTATATTTGATGGCATCGATGAATCCTTGTTCAGTCATTTGCAACAATCCTGCTCTGTTGTATTGCGCATATTTTCGCAGAATTTCATCTTCCAGTTTTAAGTCTGTTAAATGAATGCTGCTTAAGAAATATTTTCAACAAGCTGAAAAGTGTCGAATGATATATTTAGGTTTGTTATAAATTATTTTCAATGTGGAGTTTCCAGCTAATCAGAATCAAGCACATCTAACACGCTGTACTAAAGTAACTTATAATCCTTGCGATAAGCAAGGGTATTGCAATCGGGAACTAGATTTTTTCCCGTAAATAACTTTGTTCCTAGAATGGTCAAAATTAAAAATGGGTTGCTTAGTTCCCAGATCGTAGAATTGTTTTTTTTTGTTTTACTCCAGTCAATTTGTAGTTTCTTTTAGTGCTTTCTCTTTTTTTGCTATTTGAAGTTTTACTAGCCTTGACTTCGTATATTTTCTTTTTTTTTTAAATTTTGTTTGCCTAAAAACTTTATTCTGTCCAATAACTTTGGCTAATATTATATCGGTTTAGTGATCTATTTTTGAAAAATTGAGGGAAAAAAATTATGCTTCCCGCAGGATCGCACAAAATGCTCAAAATCTTAATCGAGTTTTCAGTGTTTCTTGACAATTTTTTTGGCTCTGTTTTTTTCTTTTCCTTTTTTGTTCTTGATAGTTTCGGCCTAATGGCCTCATATTGCGTCTTTTGACGGGCGAAAAAGTTTGAATGTGCGTTTGTTTCTCTTTCGAGGGTAAGGGGGACTTAATAACTGTTTTTAGCTGCCTCAAAATTCAGACGATACTTACCCAATTAGACCTGTAGCTATGGCAAGCCAAAGTTGCTAAGTTCTTGAGCCTCGGGCAGCTCACATGACGCGCTCCTTCGGGCAGTCAACAACAACGAATCGTGATTCAAAAGACGTTTTTGGCTCCCTCATCTTATTTCGAGCGATGAGTAATGCGAATGAGTAGTTGTTTTAAGAGAGCAAAAAGCTTTTTAATCCTGAAAAACTTAAATTTAGTCCAGGAAAACTAGTTTTCGAAGCTTCACTAAGCGTTTCTTTGTCAATAAAAAGCTATTAAAATGTCTTCTATTTTTTGTTTTGCTAATAAATTTTGAGACTGCATTTGATTATGCTAAATTTACGAATACTCAAAGCTTTCGTTATAGACACAAAAATGACACTAATTCGAAAACAAGAGGAAAAATTCCTTTTGTCTAGTTTTTGTTACGGCCATTGAAATAAAAAACTAAATTACAAAAGGGGCCCTTCCGTTTAGTTACGGTAAGTGCACAAGCTGGATAGGGCCATACCAGCGATATAAAAATGCATATATATCAGCAATGAAGTCATAAATCAGCATTAAATGCATCGTCATAATGTTAATTTATCTTAGCCGTCCTTCCTCTACAATAGCGCTTATGGAGTTGTCGATAAATTGAACTTTGCGTAGCGATCTGCACCCCCTTATACAAAGTATAGAGCTCCTCAGGAGCGCGAAGCTTATTTTAGTTCTTATGTAGTTTATAGATTCTGGATAGCTTTCTTGTCTTTTTTCACTTAGTTTTTCGGCCAATCGCTGCATCGTCCGCGTGGCTGTTGGAGCAGCGCCACCGGTGCATCCAAAAATTAGCGGGCAGAAGCTACTGTGCTCTACGTTTAAAATTCTTTGCTGATATTTGGAGTTCTTCAGCGTTTCGTGGTATTTGTATGCATCCTTCTGCAGTTTTCGCGATGTTTTGGCATGGGGGTTGAAAATTTTCACATCAAAGAAAGCGCGGCTGAATCGTGAACCCCAGAGTCCGTTTGCCTTAATGTCAAGTCGTGCCTCATCTTCAGTTGTAGTTGAATTGTTGACAAAGCTTTCGCCTTGCAACGGCTGAAGTTTCGGCTCAATCTCGACGTCATGGCAAACCTCGTTCATGAGGTTGGCGAATGTGTCTCTGATTTCATTGTGTCTTATGTGTGTGTAACCACCCTTTGCACAGTGAAGCGCATGTGTCAAGTTAAAATCAGCACCACATGCACATGTGAGTGGGGTTTTGGTTGGTTCCCATCCGTATCTTAAGTAAATACCATCTCTGAACTCTGATTTATTCAGGTTGAAGTTGTATCTGCTCAGTGGTAGAGTATTGAGCCAGTTAGAGGCTCCCTTTTCAGAGGCCAGGTCGATTGCGTATTTATCTGTTTCATTTAAGGAGTTAATGAGGTTTGTCTTTTTTCGATTTGTTCTATCAGTTTTCAATTTTTTGATTTTCGTACATATTTTTTCTTGCTGTGTTACTGCTGTAATAGGATCTTGAGATTCCAGTACCAGTGATGTTTCCTTAGACCATTCTAGGTAGCTTTCATGATCGGATGGCAGCTTGATGTTAAGTCCGCCCATTTTAAGGGGTAAGGAAGATATCTCACGGAACTGGGGGTTTAAAGTGTCTTTACCGACTAGGTTAGGTAGTAATTGTTCTTTGATAATATTTTCACATATTTCTAAGTTTTCCATAGTGTTAGGCGTTGTCCTGGCAAGAAATGAAAGCTTTTCTTGAACTCCTTTAGTATAGCAGGCATAAACGTTTTGAGGGGAGGTTTTAGCAATTTTGGTTAGTTTTTTCAAAGTTTTGATTTGCTCATTCTGTTGAAATTCGAGGAACTTTTTACATTCAGATTCTGTTCCTATAACTGAACCAAGCACTCGGGCTCCTGCCTTTATAGTGATTCCTGTATTTGCGAAAATTTTCTGAGCTTCACCGAGTTTTTCATCTTTGACAATGAGTTGGCATTTGGATGCTTTCACGTGGTAGCCGAAAAATTTACCCAGTGATACAATTTTATCGAGGACGGTTCGTAGATTGCTTAATTTACCGACTGCGTTTCCGTCGTCTGCGTACCATTTCTGGGTTACATCGTCTACTGATAAGAGTTTTATGAGGGGTATTATGGCTAGACCGTACATGGCCATTGCTAGTAGATCCCCCTGGGTTGTCCCTTCTTGAGAGTAGATTGTTTTTTGTTAACGAATAGTTTAGATGGATTGGAGTAGGAGTTCTTAATCGCTGTTAAAAGGGAAGGGCAGGTATTTTCGATGTTTTTTAATGCCAGCTTTCGGTTCAGCGAGTTGAAAGCGTTTTCGGCATCTATCAGTAAAACAGCATCGGCGGAAGTTTTGCTGTATTGATCGCTTAGCGTGTGGATCGCATATTCAATGCCACATTTTTGTCCTAAGGCAGAGTTGGTAGTTTGAACCGAGCGACATGAGTTCGTTTTTTAGGCATTTAGTTATTGTTCGCCCTATTATCCTACGCATAACTTCTCCTATGCCTATGGGTCTTACCCCTGGATTCTTATCTAAGGGTATTAATCTGCATGCGTTATATGGTTCCATTAGTTCTGGATTTAGTTCTTCTGTGGCCAATTTTTTGGCAATTTTAGCAATTGTTTTTGAAATTTCAACTGATTGTTGCCCGAAGTGTGTTAGAATACGTCTCCATTCATTCGCATCGAGGCCAGATGGTCCATGCGATCCGTGCGTTCTCATGGCTGCCTTCTTGATATGTTGACCGTTTATCTGATCAAATATCGATGGATGGAAAGGAATTGTTTCGTTTGAGACTGGTGTAATATAGTTCTCATTAATTGGTTCAGATGGTGGGTGTTTCTCTATGAGAGTCTGTTCAACTGTCTTACCTTTGACAATCTCGTCGAGCGAAAGAACGCCTTTAGATGTGTCTGTTAGTTTTGCAATTGCGCTTGATATTCTCCAGTGTTCATTAGTTTGTTGAACTGTTGTGCTTCAGTTTCAATTTTTCTTCTACTTCCTTTCAACAAGCGCATTTGCAGCGCCTTTCCTTCGTTATATAGTCCATCCAGGTCTCCGTCTTGCCATTGCTTAAGTCGCCTTGCTATTGTTTTGGATAAAGATCCATCAATTTCGGACTTTGTTTTGCACAGTAATAAGTGTGGAAAAATCATTGCTGCGTGCATTGCGAAGGTATTTTCGTTGTTTTCTATTAGGCTGTTCAAAGTTTTATTGAGGGTTTCAATAAAGTTATAACCAACTTTATTTTTTGACAAGATCATAAAGACCGGTTTCCAGTGGACCACTTCGGTGTATATTTTCCTGGTGGTTTCTATTAGTTCTGGACAAGGGTTTGACGGCTGGGACGGCGAGATTTAGTAAGATAACCAGAAGAGGAAAGCCCAGCGCGCATATGATATGAAAACACACAAGCGGTAAATTTGAACAAAGAAATATATTTAATAGGTTTATCACAACAATTAGGCTAATGCCCATTACGGCCATTGAAATTGGGGAGGAACGGGTGTGTTTTAGTTTTTTTTCCTTGTGTTTCACGCAAAATCATGTACCACAAATAATGATCGTAATGGGCCGAGTGATATATCATATTAAAGCCCTTTCAGTCGTGATTTGAACGACAATAAAAAATTTTGAATTTTTTTTAGCAGTGTCGAGAAAAACCGGTTCAAAAATTTGGTTTTTGAGCTAATTTCGAGTTGATAAGGTGACAGTGTATGCTTACAATAGCTTACTTAAACTTTATTTGAGCTGTGAGATCTTAGTTTTTGACCAAGTTAAGGTAGTTTTTCTAGGCATTTTTCTGAATTTTTTTTGTCCAATTTGCCTATAACACTATGACTGTCTAATATGCCTAAATTATTTTTTACGTCAGATCTTTCAATCACACCAAGCAGAAAAACTACAGGAACCGGCTACTTGCACTGTAACCGGCTATCCTTGTTAAATATCGTTTTATTTAAGAGGAAAAGGGAGGGGATGAGAGAATGGTCCAAAAACTAGTTTCTACTAGTTTAATTTATGTAAGGTTAACACAATGTTTTTAACACAATGTTGTTTTATATTTTGAGTTAGCTTCCCAGATTTGGTTGCTGATTGCGTGTCGATGCTAATGATTTCTTGTATTTATGCAATTAGTCATGGGTCAATTTTAAGTGCAAGAGAAACTGGGCTCTGCCGAGATTATATGTTTTTTTTTCACTCGTGCTGGTGGTCAAATTAGACCAAGGGTTCGTTTTGGCATAAAAGCCTTATGCCTTATATACGCAGCATAAAATGTTACAACGATGTTTTTTCTCACCCAATGGTTTGAGAACTCTCTGCAGACTTTTCACGTCTGCAAAATGACCTCCATCTTCTGCCACTGCTTTGAAGATGTGTGCAAGGCCTTTGATGTCGTTGTCTGCTAGCTCGGGTTGCGTTCTGAAAAAGCATTATTTCAAAAAATGGAATTAGAACACCTAAATACTGTTTTTCTCGATACTGGGATAACTTTTTTAAAAATTTTCTAATGTCGTTCTAATTACGACTGAAGGGGCTTTTATATGATATATCACAGCCGATTCTGTTGATTATTTGTGGTACCTGATTTTGCGCTGAAAAAACTGAAACACCCGAATTTACATTTCTTCCCCGTTTTCAATGGTCGGAACAACAAGAAATTATTATATTGTTACCTGAAAATCAGGTGCTCTTTTCTGATACGGTCGCGTAATTCCTCAGTTGCCATTTCGTCACAAGTTAGTTGACATTTCAAAGCAAATAATTGACGTCAAGTGATTTGGCTATTCACTGTCTCTTACTCTTTTTTTTTCAAATAGTTATTTGGCTAGCTGCTTGTAAAAATTACATCTTAAGTAATCGCGTTTGAGAACAATTTTAATTACGTTTGAGAACAATGATTTTTCTCCAAAACACACACCTGGCATGTCTTACGATAATCTCACATAGTCACAGCTTAAATAAAAATATAAAATTTGAATGTGTTTGGTGTTTTGTATGAAAATCAATATTTAAGATTTGACGCAATGATGAATAAACAGTCTCAGAATAGCGAAGCTCGTTCATCCAACTCGGATACGAAGCCTGAAAAGTCTACAAATCAGTCGCAAGGAAGTTTCAAGCTCTCGATTCCGAAAGAAAAAATGTGCAAATTTAAAAATAGAATTTGCCGCAGACCATGTGTGAAATCTTTTGATTACTGCGAATTGCATGTGCAAATTATCCCACCTGAAATGAGTAATGAAAGCAAAAGTGGCTTTGCGAGGTGTTCGTTTGTAGCTCCGAGAACGGCCACACAGTGCTGGAATCCATCTATTATGACACCAGGAAATGGCGACAAGGGCAACTGGCCTCGCCAATTTTGCAGGCAGCACAGAATTAAGGTTCATTTTACCAAAGATTCAATTGTAAAATAGTTTTCTTTCGAAATGTTTTACAAGCTGGTACAATAAAATAGTTTTTTTCGTGTCGAGGGAAAGGGATTCTCGCGTTGTTAAGCCTTAGATTTGCTTAATTCGAGACAGTTTCCGAATCAGTTGTAATACATTTCAAAGTGTGAGGGTTTTGTTTCTTCTAACCATAATTGATGTTTAATACAGATGGAAACTATTGCTAACATCATCTGGTAAGGTATTAAAAAAAACTGGTCAGTTTTTTTAGTTCATCCTCGCGCAGAAACGAGGCCCTCGTGTGCAACATCTGAAATCAAAAGCAATTGTGGACAAATACGTCCGGAACATCAAGCGACTGGCGGGTAAGACTCAAAACAGCGTCGTAATTGACAGCCCCGACAGCAAAGACGACGAGAAGCCGTTCGGAGGCATGACGTCATCGCTTTTTGGAGGCGAGTCGTTGGATGACTCACTGGTAGATATGGAGGATTCAGACGAGGAGTGTCTCGATAGTCTGCCTCTGTCTAAGTTCCAGCCGGATATAGTGGAGAATGATATTGATACGCGTGACATGGGAACACTGGACCCTTTGAGGTTAGTGTTACTTGGTACGGGCCCGACTCATCACAGACGCTCGAAAAACGAATTTTCTTTACTGGCTTGCAACTAAGGTCTATAGAATTTGATGTATTGCACAGTTTATTGAGCGGGTGCGTTTGAAGTCCGGCTTTAAGTTCATTCAATGATACCATTTAGAAGAGGGGTTAAATTCTTGAAGAGCTGACGTTCTTAAACCACGGAACTGTTATTTATATCCTCCAAACTGGCAACAAAAACTTGTTGCCACATTAGGCAGTGATTTTTGGTATTTTGGGGTCTATAGCTATAATGGGAACCAACCAGAGTATAAAGTCTTTTTATACTCTATAAAGTAAATTTTTTTCTAACATTATCAACTAGAGAATAGTTTTTTCTAACATTATTAAATTTGCCTAGACATGCATGTATATACACATCGGAAGAAATCGGTCGAATTTTGTGTCTGAAAATGAAGAGACTGCAACAATTGTATAAGCAGCAGTTCAAGTTCCTAGAATACGAACTCAACTTGACAAACATAGAATACGCCAAACAAACTGCGAAACTGTCGAAAGCCCCGGAAACAGCTCAACCGAAACCGCTAAATGTTCTGAGCAAAGTGACAAACGAAAATGAAACCCTTGAATCTGTGGAGTACAGAAAGTCAATGCGCTTTTTGAAAACCGCAAGAAAGTTCAAAGGACAAGAGGCGCTGTTGAAAATGAAACAAGACGAAAAGAAGCGTATATTTTCGACCAACGAGGATTTCACATCGAGTTCTAGTTATCTTCCATCACAGGTAAGGTTGCGTAGAATTTTTTGGCAAGTAGAGGTATTTAATAGAGTTATTTTCCAAGCAAATCTTTTACCGTTTCCAAGCTTTTAGTTTTTATCCATCAAAGTTTCTGTTCACATCGTCCAGTTGTTTGTAACTTTTTCACAGGTATTCATGACGAAATTTGAAAAGTAAGACCGAAAATGATAAACAATATTACCAACTAGTGGTAAACTCAAGTGATTGTTAGAAAGTTTTTATTGACGAAAAGCCAATCTTATTATGAATAGTAAAAGAAATTCAGATTTTTTTCAGGCACAAGCAACGAAATGTGCGTTTATCGTCACGTCAAGAAGTAGTCTTAGATGTGGTAAACGAACAATACCCAAAAGCAAGTACTGTCTAGAACACATTGTGAGTGACCGAAACCAAGTTTTGTTCAGCCAGTGTGCAATAATTGGAGACGACTCAAAGACGTGCCCGACTGTATTGAAACCTTATTTGTTTGAAAGCTCTTGTGATTTGCACAGAAAACTGAAACCTATAGTTTTTGAACCAACAGAGACAAACTTTTGAATTTGAATTAATTTATGTTGTGAATTATTTTAGAGGTTAAAAATTCAATGATATTTGCAAAAAGCGTTTTTACAGCCTATTTTACCAAATGCAAAATTGAGAAATTTGCTACAGACATGACATAGTTTTTTTTTAGTTAGCAGAAGGCGTGAAAAACAGTATATACCTGAAAGGCAATGTTGCGAACAAATATTCGGCCGAGTAATATATCATATTCAAACCCGTTTAGTCGCAAATCGATTAATATTATTTCAGTGTCGAGAAAAAAGTGGAAATACTACAGGACTACTGTTTTCCAACGTGAGTGGCAAATATTAGTGCTACCTTTAGAAGGTGGCTGAATTGGCTAATTAATAGCAAAATAAAACTACTGATAGATTTTTATTGATCAAATGAACCGAAGAAAGCTATTTGTTTCATACAGCATTAAAATAATAAAAATTCGTTTCAAGATTTTCCGACAATATTTTGCGTTTTGAAATTGGACGTTATATTTTCCACTTCATTACATGCAAAATTAGTATGGTTGACTATAGCTTTTTACATACCAAATTATTACTTCCAAATTTTGTCTTTTTCTGCGGTTTGAAGCTCTAAGCTTTCTTGCTTGTTTTTGGTTTCTAAAAGCGTCAATGGCTCAATTGTGTAGGTCATTCAACTGGAAAACTTGATTGGCAGATAACTGAGGCCATTTATTTAGCAAATTTCGCTAGATTTTTCCTTTTAACCTTTTGAAAATACTCCTTTGCGATTTTTACACAAGCATAGCTTGTGTTATAGTATGAATTTTTTTTCCAACTTAAGTCGCAAATAATGTTGCGATGCAATTTTTGCGAAAAAATTTATTCTTTTTGAAAGTGTTCATTTTGATCCAGCTATTGAGTACAGTTAATGCTAAGGATAATAACATTGACTGTTATATTACAAATAGCACTGTAGCTTCAGGGCATCATGGATCTATAGCGTAGATGTAGGGAAGGAGACAGCTGCAAAATAAGGGGGGTCGAGCCTGGGCAGAGTCGGATGTTTTTATTGAACTTTTTCGTATATTAGTTAAAATGCGTCTTCTCTATAAATTGAGGCATATGTTAGTTGGTAAATTTCTTTTTCTTTAAATTGATTGGTGCTGCTTATTCGTCATAATTGGCTTGCGTCACTTAGCAATTATGTAGACTCATGATTGGCGTGCGTCACTTATAAAATTTTGTAGGCTCAAAATTTTACTCATTCAGAAGCGTTATCGGTCATTTTTTTTGATTGTGTATGCGAAGTGCAACTTCGCCTCTGTGTTCAAATTTGAGAAGTGACGAATACTTTTTTGGTATAGACATGACAAAAAGTATTTTTTAAGTTAACGTTTGCAAAGTACAACTTCGCCATTTTTTTGTTTTCTAGATTATGAAAGTTAGAATATTTTTGTTGGAGAAATGAGGCCAGAATAATTTCGGATACATAAACACCAACCGACTAAGCGTTCTTACGCTTTCGAAGCAAGTGTATTCGTGTGAACCTTCTTTTTTTCCAACCTAGGTTGCAAGTTTTGTTGCCACTTTTGGGCCAGCTTTTTCATAGCATGTGCTTTGACATTCGAATAGTAATAAATTAACACAGTTTATGCATTTCTAATTCATCAAATGAACCGAAAAAAGTGACTTGTTTCAAACAACATAACAATAATGAAATTTCGATTTCAGAAAAATTCTATCTGCATATATCTTGCAATTTTTGAAATGCATAATTTATACATACTGTGGCTTAGTGCTTTGCAATTTGTTACATGCAAAGATAGTGTGGATGCCTTCAGTTTGTTTTAATCCAAACTATTACTTGCAAAATTAAGTCTATTTGTATTTGGTGTGATTTTAGCTGAATCGCATTGCCAATTCATTAGCACATGTAGCTGCTTTATTCATGATTAGTGTTTGTCGGTTGTTAAGCTTGCATTGCTGAGTGGATATTGCGTGAGACTCAAAATCTCTTGATTGCAGTAGGTCGCAGATTGGAATCCTACAAGTAGCCGAAATTTGGTAATTCGAAGCTTATTTCAACTTATTCTTATTTCATTTGGAGCTGGATTTTGGTCGTGTTCTCGCTAGTGTTTTCGAAGCTCAGCTTCGCTTCTGTGTAAATATGTTTTTGCTACATTTTCTGTCCAAAAGATCAATTTCGTAAAGCTCATCGATTTAGTGTTGTTTTGTTCCTTAAGCTGAGTTTCGCTTCACCTTGTAACTTTGATCAGAGTTGATGATAAGAATACTTAAAATTTCATCTTTTTAACAAAATTAAGTTGTCTGCTGAGCGAAGTTGACAGCTTTTAAATTTACTTTAGCTTTTTACTGTTCATAATGACATAAATTGCTATTTACACTTAAGAGATCAAATGTTTTGTTATCGGGAATTAGACTTTTTTCGGCAAACATTTTTTCTTACAACAATTTGAACTTCCAGGTTCCTTTCCCGTTGAACTAAAGATAACGTTTTTGCAACCTGGGGGATCATTTTTTTCCGGCTCAACTGGTGCATGCTTAAAGATTGTCAGCTTTATTTCTTCTTTATAAGTTTGACTCCGTTGCGAGATTAAAATTCAATTATCATGCTTGGCATGCTCTTTAGAATCCCTGTTGATACAATCAGGAATTATGCAAGTTTAAGGGTTTGGGTTTTTCAATTTTATTCAAATTTTAGTTTTTATCGAAAATTTTTTTGTCGATTTTCAAAAAAAAGGTATCTTTAAAAAGACTTCTTACATTCCTCTGTCTGTACTATCGCCTAGTCTCTTTTTTTTTACCCCACTGCATTCTTCTAGGGAAAATATTTGACCCATATTTTTGTTTTCTCAGAAATTACCTTCCCAAATCTGAGATTTTGCGATCAATGTATAAAACGGACTGTGGGAAGCTCCCTTGTTTAACTGGCTATGCCCATTTTTTACCCAAAAAGGTATCACCCTCGGAAAAGTCAAACTCTGATTTTTTGAACTTGAATTTTTTTATACTATTCTCGAGAAATACTCTCACAAATCTGACAAATTGAACTCTCTGGAAATAACGGGATGTTGGTATCTCCCTTGCTTAATGGACTCTGTAATTTTTTGCCACAATAAGTTATCGAACTCGAAAAATCGATATTTGTTTTTACCGTTTTTTGAAAATATTTGATTTTTTTTTCAAAAAGTACTCGCTCAAATCTAAATTCTTGCGTTCAGTCGAAAAAAAGTTAGTATGAATTTTTTCTGCATTAGTGGCTAGGCTCAAAGGTTCTACACAAAAAGCTATGATTCTCTGAAAAGTCGAGTTTATGGTTTTTTGACCATTTTCTGGAAACTTTTTGACCCTTCTAGGAAAATACACTACAATTCTTAGATGAAGTGTTCAATCGAGAGACCTGATTTTGGGAACTTTCTTTGATTAAGTAGCCACGAACTTATATTTGAAGAAAAACTGGGATTGTGGAAAGCCTTTTTGAGCTTTATTTTTTTTAGAGTTTTTTGATTTTTCCTATTAACTACCGTATCAATCTTTCATCTCAGATTTGAAATGGTAATTAATAAGAAAAATCAGAAAGTTTTAAAAAACGATCTTAAGCTCAAAAATACTCTCCAAAATCCAAGTTTTTCTTCAAAAACAATTTCGTGGCCACTTAATCAGAGAAAGATGCCAAAATCAGGTGTCTCGATTAAAGACTTCATCTAAGAATTGTAGTGTAGTTAAATAAAAAGAACAGGTTACAAAATTTTTTTCCTGCAGTTGCGGCGACTTCTTTAATAATTAAACGAACAAAGTTATGTTTTTGTGAAGATAACCTTTTCTCCAAATTTTCACTCTTCTCACTCATTTGAGTAAAGAAACAACTAAATACTTAGACAAAGTCCAATATATGAATTTTTTGATATTTCGTCCTGCATAATTATAATAAATTTTAAAAACAACACAAAGGTATCTCCAGTTTTAGTTTTCTTTACCAAGACACTTAAAAATTAAATTTTGCGTAGTTTTTTTCAACAATTTTTTTTATTTTTTTGTCTTGTTATGTTTTCTTTTCTATGTTCGTGTTGTATCGCAAGTGCTACAAAGCTCCACCTCGCCTTTTAATTGCTTTGTTCTTCCATTACGAGGCCAAACTGTGCACTGGATAGGCGCACAATTTTGTGTCTGTATGTTCCTGGATTGCAGAGACAAGTCTCAAAACATGTTTAAATTTTGTCGGAAAGATCAAAGAAAAGGGAAGAACAAAAGGAGCGTCCTTGCTGCAGAATCCGCTTGCAATTTGCAAAATGCACAGTTTGGCTTCGTATTGTCAACGTACAAAAAATATTTGATTTTTGTTATTTTGACCAAATAGAAACTCTTTTTTCATTTCCTGAGTAAACTGCGTACGAGACGAAAAATTAAGGCCAAATTTTTTCTGACAAAACTATTTTTTCTAATAAACACAGGCCACTTAAAAATAAAAATATGAAATCTACGTTTTTGTGACACATTTTGCTGCTAGATAGGTTATAGAAATTTATCTTTGAGAAAAAATTATTTGGTTATTGTGTCCATGTTTTGTCAAAATTTACAAGTCTGCTGAGCAAAAATGTCCGCTTAAAATCTAGCTTAAATTACAGATGTTTACAATAGAATTCAAAAAAAATCAATTTAAAAAGCGTCTTCTACCCAATCTATTGATTCTCTCAGGCAAATTTGGCTGAACAGAAAGTTTTTGATACATTTCTATGAAAGAAAATATTATTACCATTGCGATAATTAAGGGTTTTTCAATCGGGTACTAGACTTTTTTCCCGTAAACAACTTTGTCCACAGGATGACTAAAATTTGGTCATCTCCTAATGTATCTCTATTTCTACTCAAGATGCAATTCTAACTGCTGTAATTAAAAAGCGATCTTCAACGACTAAGGTGAAAATTGATTTACAGCTGAAAAAGAATTACAGATTTAAGTTGATTTTTTTTGTCGGCTTCATAAATTTTGACCCAGTTTTTTGATGTTTTTTTTCATGATGGTAATCATAGTTCAGGGTTTCCTGGT